CGGACCCACAATTCCAACCGCTGCAAGCCATTGCAGATTATACTGCTACGCCGCACGTCCAAGGGGCATTCGGCGGGCGGTCAGAGGTTGCACAGACACCGAACAACTTCCCATCTGTGGGCATGCTGCACTGGAAGAAGGAGAAGATGCGGGAGTCCGAGGAAGCCGCTGCAGCCCACGAGTTGGAACATGGACGCCGACGACATTTCACTGCCTTCAGCCAACACCAAACGCCCGTCGTTGCGCTTCGACGCAAGCGATGCGCGAGTGATTGCCACATGCCACAATCCAGAGGTACATTCTCCATCTAGCACCTGATTGGCCGTCCACCTTGGGCTTTCATGGTTCCTAAGCTTATTCCAACGTAATCGATGGTTATTTCGTCGCAAGAGATTACATTTGTTTATACTGAAGCACAATTCGCGCACAGTTTAGCCCAATTGCTCTTCTCACACCTGCCATGTTCAAATGGGCTTATTGGCTGACTCTGCGTTGTACACAGACTAATCACCACGAGGGAGTCTCGGGTTAAACATAAATGAAGTAGTCCGTAAAGGTCTCATTGCGGAACAGGCGTTTAGTTTAACACAAGTTCCAAAGCAGCATAAGGTTGTCCCATAGACTGGCAGTCTATAGATTGAAAACTAGGCGTTAGATCTGCGTTGGGATGACTTCACATGCTCTTCAATACCGCTGGAACCCCAAACTCAGACCAACTGGAAACGTAATTGGCCGCAGTGGCTGACGCATGGCCTTCAATTTCTGACAAACTCAGGAATTTCACCGGCAAATTATTTCCAGTGCTTGGGCAGGAGTAAGGTTCAGTTTGGGTGGTGTTTCCATAGTTTCGTTACTTAAATGACATAAGTAGCATTCAGGGAAGAAGAGGCTAGGGTCCCCGCTTTGTCGGCTTATTTTACAAAAATTGTTGTCATTTTGAACTGAAAGGCTCGAATAAGCTGAATTTTATTTCTGAAATGTTGATCGTTTACATTTGCAGACTGTGTGTTTTAGATGTGTTAGAATATTTTGTGATCGCCAGGTTGCTTTTTCGGGGTAACTAACAAAAGGCATGAGGGGGTTCAAAAGCTGTAGGAAAAAAAACGAGGTGGAGGATTAAGACGAGAAGATGCGGTCGCTGGAAAAAAGTTTATTGGCCTCACGTTTTGGATTCTTGCACGGACCCATCCGCAATTGTGTCTGACGACGGTTTGTGATGTTGACGATGATGGGTTCGAGCGTGGATCCGAAACGTCAGGCCAGTAAACTTCTTGTTCCAACGCTCCCATCTTCTCCTTCTGAACTGCTTCCCGGAGATCGCCTTTTTCACTTCTGTTCATGAGTACAGTTGCCGAGATTTGTAAGCCGCCAATCGTATCCTTCAAAATAATGCTGATAAGTGAAATATAGGCGAGTTTATACAGATGTGGCCTTGCCTTACGAAATCCGTTTTTTTCGCAAAATACAGGAGTTGCCTTCAGCGGGCTGCATGACTTCCATAGCGCATCTTCGACAAGTGCAGGTGGCAGCGAGGCACCTCGCTCAGATCGGATTCAGGGCCACTTCTCCTCTGACGCAAACGACTGGTGCACTCAGATACAGGATGATGTTCTCGCGAAGATTTTGAACACTGTTCAGCAACTCACCGCCAGATTGGACGGTGATTCCGATCCGCCCGAGGTGATCCAGAACTGTAAGGCCATCCAGGCCTGTCTGGACACAATTCATGCTCTGAAGCGGGCTCGATATGACCCCAGAGGAGCCTGTGCCAGACCCCTCCCCTCGACAGCTCCACATTCGGGTGCGGAGCACTCCTCGACTACCGGCTACAGCGCTTCTTCCGACATGCTCAACGGTCTGCCTGACCCCTGCAATCAAGGGCTTCCATGAACATACGTCTAACACTCACGCAATTATGTCTTTTTTTACTTGAATATCTGTCCGGATTTTGAATCACTCTGGATGGTTTTTATTTTATTTTTACTAATTTTTACTAGTTTTTTTATATGCATATATACTCCTCCAGCCGTTAACTGGGAATCCTGTAACCTATTGCGCAATTTCATAAGCTTTACTTTGCCTGTATTATACTGTTATGGACTCTACACTGTCTTGTTGCCCTTCTCTATGTAAGCAGCGCGTTAGACGAAAGGCACACGCTTCACCAATTATAACCTCTCTTCACAATTGGCTGCGCAGGTTCGCGTTCTCGGCGTTTGCTTGAGTAAAGTATCAGTTACTGATACTGAAGTCTGATCGAGTACAGGGACAGTTTTTTTTATTATTCTGAGGTTTTCTCTTGTGCAGGAGTTCGTTGTCAGAGTTATCAGCAGCAAAAAGGCACCAATTAAAGGGTTTTTTTACAGTCTAAGTAGTGCATGCACTCGGATCACTTCAATTATCAGGCCAAATCTCCAGGTCGAAAGTAAAAGGCAGAAGTCACCTGTGAGAGGGATTTATTGTTCACAGAACTCCCAGTTGCAGTCTCAGGCAGCTGACTGGCTGGCTAGTAGCCCTTGTTGGATCAGGAGTCCCGCCGGGTGGGCCTCAATCC